AGCGTGTTAGGACGTTAGACAGCTTCTTAAACATAAACATTATAAAGCGCTATAAAAGGGACAGTACTAAACCCTTATCTACTAACTCCTGTAGCTTAGGTTCTAGATAAATTGCTAAGATGTAATAGCCCTAGTACGCTGCTAAGCAAGCAATAGAAAAAGGTGTAGCGTTCTCTCCTAGCTTGTTATTAGGATAAGGTGTGTTACTGCAGTAGTAGAGACTATAACTGTGTGTGCTTTCTCTGCCCTGCCACTTATACTAATTCTACTAATTTATAATGTTAAACTTTAGCTTAATTATATGCTTTTTAAAGAGCCTAAAACATTAATTAAAGTAATAAGCTATAATGTGTAAGTTATCTTACATAAAAGTAGACGCTAATTATAGACGCTGTTTAGCATTAGCAGCTTTTTATAAAGAAAACTCTTGCATAAAGCGCAGGAGGTTATGCTAGTGTTAATTAGCAGTAGAGAAGGTAATAAATAATGTAGGACAACAAAGTTACTAAACCTGCTAGGTTTTAACATATACACTGTAGGTATTAGACAGGTATTAGACGCACTATTGCTTTAAAGTTTTTCCCTTTTTACATTTAAAACAACTAAGTACTATAAATTTTAGCTATAAAACAAATAATAAAGTTAACTATTTATTACTCTCTATTTTCTCTAGCAAATTGCTTCTGTATGTTTTCTACTGTTAACTCCTGCCTATTAAAGGCGCGCTTAATGTAGAATCCTGCTTTAAACGCAGACTTCTTCTAAAGAAGCATATTAAATGCTATAAACTAGAAATATAGGTGTTAAGCAAATCTTCTGTCCTTATAACAAATAAAGTAGCGCACATAACTAAGAAAATTAACATTATGTAGTTAGAGCTATACAAATTCTGCCTTACTATATAGAAATAAAGACAGGAACGTAAGGCTAAATAAGAGCTTATAACTATTAAATTTAGAAATTAGAGTTTAATAAATAAAACCTATAAAAAGAAACTCCTGTGTTATTATTTAATAAATATAGTCCCTTAATGTCTTAAACTTATAAACATTAGGTGTAAAGTTAAGTACAACCTTATGTTTAGGCTCTTTAACCTTATTAATGTCTATCTCTTTAAATACAGAGCTCCTACTATAGGTGCTGCCAGCGTCTTTATTTACAGCAGATGTAGCAGTATTAGACAAGGTATTAGCCTCTAGATTATTATCTTTATCTACTACATCTATAGGTAAACTATTATTGTTTGTCTTAATAATTAGAAGTTAGTTATTAATGTAATTATTTATTAGCAGTAAACTAAGAGCTTTCTTATTAACAGTAACATTAGCGTATCTAGGATAGTAGGTAATTAAGTGGTTTAGCTACTGTTCTACAATAGGTTAACGCACGCAGTGCTCCTTTTTAAACTAACAGTTAATTGCACCTTAATTCTCCTCTTTAGTAGTAGCTAGTTTAAGGATAACAATGTCTAGATTATAAAAAAAGAGTAAAAAGCGTAAGAACACCTTAGCAGTGTTAACAGCAAAGTGGCATATATAGCCCTAGTACTTATACTACTGTCCCTAATGCTGCCTTATTTCTATATTAATGTGTACGTGTGCTAGTAGTTGCTCTTTAGTAGTAGTTAACTTAGAAAGGTTTAGTAAAGGGCTAAGATTAAAGTTATTTATGTCTTTTTAAAGTAAAATAAATTCCTTCTTGTGTCTATATTTAAGTAAATTAGTAGCGCACTTCTTATAAGTACCTTATTAATTTAATCTTATGTTAAACTACTTTTAATTATAGGTAGTGCATGTATCTAACTTAATATTAAGTAGACCTTTATAAAAGTTGTTAATATAGCCCTTATTAACTTCTAGTATAGCCTAGTCTTTAAGGAATTTAACATTATTAAAATTTATAGGTACAGGCGCAGATAGAAAATTATACGCATAGCGCTTAGCGTCTAAGAAGATATCTATGTTAATGTCTTTATCTAAACTGTTGCTAAGGTTGTTTTTATTTGTACCTGCTCTCTGCAACTAAGAGGGTGTAGACTAAAACCTTCTCTATGTTAATAGTAGCTTTTAGGTACATTGCGTACTTAAACTAATTAAAGTAAATAGCACAGATAGTATATTAGAGAGGTTGCCTAATAGGCTAGAGATTTTATATTAGGGAGATTATTAAGGCGTCTGTTATGTAAAAATGTTGCAAAGAAGAGAGCTTAATAGGCTAAAGTTTATAAAAGGCAATATATGTGCTAGTTTTTTATTTATAGTATAAACGTTAACCTTACTCTTTAATTAGCAACACTTTTAACATAAAGTCTTTTACCTGCTATTTTCTTTAAACATGTTATTTGCCTAGTCTAATAGCGTAGAACAATAACAACATAGGGGTACTAGAGGAGACAACAGCGGGATATAGAGTTGTAGTCTGTTATTTGCGACATATGTGATATCAGCAAGAGCGCGCCTCTTGGCTGGCGGTGGAGGTATAGGGCTGCCCTAGGTAGGGCGCTTCCTTGCCTAGATTTGTGTATTGCAGGGCGCACATTAAACCTTCTATTAGAGGAACGTCCTGTCTCTCTGTAGATCTATAGGGTGATAACAATTATTACAGAGTAGGGGAGGTTTATTAGCGTTAAATAGCAGAGGTACTATGTTGTGGGTTGTAGCAGGAGGTATTAGACGGGTATTAGACAACACGCGCAGCAAGGTTTTAGTTTTCGCGCAGGAAATAATTATCTAAGGATCTGCTGTTTTTATGCTTACGTGAGCCTAAAAAGGCTAAAAGCAGTAATTCTTAGCTGCTAAGCCCTAACTAAAGAAAACTAAAGTCCACAGAAAGAAGCGGAGCAAGCTCCGCTAATAATGTATGTAAGCAGATTTTTATTATTATGTAGCCTAATTTAACAACAAGCAAGCTAGGCAGCAACAGTATAAAAAGAGATTAGAGGGATTAACTATAGTAAACGTATAGTGCACGTGACTATTAACTAAATAGGATATTGTCTAAACACGTCAACTAACAAGCTAAGATTAGTAGGATACTTAGCCTATTTAGAGATAGGGCGACGTCTAATTATGCTAGTACAGGCCTAAATTTTGCAGGCAAATTAATTAATTTAAGACTAGATAATACAAAGCACTAATAAACCTGCTGTAGCTCTTTAATATCTAGCTGTTGTCTTTATAGTAGATAAAAGACAATTAACTACCTAGATAAGAAAGAAGCAGAAGGCACCTTTATACTATAGCTAGTAAATATTTTTATATATACGCTGCTTTATTATTCCTTAGCTAAGTTGTTAAACAGACTATCTATTAGATCCTATATCTTATTAGTAACACTGTATGTTGTGTCCTTAACCGCACCTGCAAAGCTAGCAGCATTAATAAAAAGAGACTTATAAGTGCTAATGCTTGCAAGGTCTGTAACATCTAATTCTAGCGCAGGATTAACAGACACAACATTAGCCGCATTAAAGTCTTTAATCTTAGACGCTAACAACTTAGCACCCCCTAAAATAATATCAGGACTAGTAAGTAGTAGCGCCGCACAAGGCTGGAATATCCTAGAAGGAGGTCTACACTGTCCGCCCTCTAGTAAATAATAAGCAAGAGCAAACGTCTTAGACCTAACATCCTGCTGCAAATGCTTGTTGTTTGTCTTCTTACTAAAGGCGTTCTCCATAAGCGCACGTAATTGCATGTAGAACTAGGAGGAGAGCGCAAGACAGCTAAAAGTAAAGTTTACGTTATAAGTTTTGTTCTTAAAGTGCTGCATGTTAAGTTTGTACGTACAGTTTATAAGCTTAAGCACTAAATTAGCAGCCTAAAATGTATCAGGCTTTCTATGTACGTTGACTAGTCTAGATGCAAGGATAGACTGCTGGAGTATTAGAGTAGAGACGTTGTTAGTTAACATCCACTAAAGATGTAACAGTTTAGTGCTGTATTAACCCTGCCTAGACCTAAAGAACATAATAGCAAGTAGGTTAATTAGAAGGCAGATAAGCCTAATATTACTATGCTTTACAGCATAATAGAAGCTTAGGAACATCTTAATTTCTTAGAGAAACTGACATGTTAAGGTAAACTCGCCAACCAGGTCGTCCTGTCTGTCCTATGCAAGACTAGTAAAGACCTTCGCCCGCACTTAATTAAGGACATTAAAATAGTCTCTAGGAGCAAGCCTACTAATAGCTTTAGAGTATAGCTCTAAAGTGTGCTGCTTAACATTGTTAATGTTATCTGTTAAACCCTAGAGAAGGCTACTGTTACTTAACTCCTGGTAGAAAAGGCCAGCAATCCTAGCGTTCCAGCTTAAGGTAATAAGGGGAACTGCCATGTGATATTTAACGTTGCCCTTATTAATGCCTGATTGATTTAACTGCGAGATATTGTGTAATAAGTTGCTTAAGAAATTAAAGCCTTCTAGGGCCAAGAAATGCGTGCGGACAATCATATACGTAAGGGACTGGAGGATATGGAAGTACGCTGGCGGCCCAATCATCCAGTCCCTTCGATCGTATGGCTTAGAGGCGTCCCGCTGCTCCTTTTTGATACTTCGTATGAACTCAGCTGTCTTCTGGTCACCCCACACAATCCACAGTCGCTCCTTAAAGCTCAGTTTGTCAGTGTCTGGAGGTAACCCTAGCTGCTTTAACTATATATTATTGTGTACTTTGTATGTCTCATCAATAACACCCTCATCAAAGAAAATGGCCCCTAAATGATTGACCTGACTAGGAGTCTCGCACAGCAGCACATCAAGTGCTGGCATTGATGGTTCCTGAAGCTCACTCCCCTCAAATATAGACAAGACAGCGCCAGGGTGAATAGCTGCTATTGCTTGCGACATAAGATATACAGTGATCCTCTTGCTTACAGGATCCCAAACCATGCCATCGGACTCTGTAAGGTGCTCAAGCCGTAGCGGCATGCTTGGTTTAAACATAGTTTGTTTAAGCCCATCCAATGGGAGCCATGGGCACTTAATAATCAGCGCTGTAGTTAGGTTCGCTGCGTAAATGTACCAGTACCCAGTGCGTGGTCGCGTATACGGTCCTGAAAATTGTAATTGTCATATACAATTGTAGACTGCGGGTCCATTGCAAGACGTGGCAACCTAAGTACCATCAGATAACATAACCACTAACTAAACAGATATAACCTACAACGACTTTGTCTTGTCTGCTATATTATCTACCTCCTTGTTGATGACCTTGTAAGAGTCACACAGACCAAGACCTGATAACGTCTCAATAACCCGTCGCTTTGTGCCACTGCCATGCAAGTATAGCCCTAGCAGGCGAGCAAAATGATTTGACCTCCTTCGAGCCCGGGCGCGCAAAATAACAGCAGTAATCAAGTACGCCTCGCTGTTATGCGAAGTCTTCGCCTTTGGATAACTACGCCAGGCCGCACGCTCATTGCTTAGCATGCTACTGATAAACTTGCTCCAAGCTGGAGCCTTTTCGGCCAGAGTCGTGCCCGTACCAGAAAAATCAACATCCTCCAACTTAGCATCAGGCTGATACTGCCCGAACAAGGGCTCCTTAAGCAAGACATCGAACTCCTGGTAGATTGAATTGGAATCAAAATCATCCTGGACGCCCTGATCAACCCCTATTGTTGCAAGTAGGTTATGCTTCTTAAGCGCTTTTTTAAAAATTGTCCTCCTCCTGCTGGGCTCTAAAGTCCTTTTTGGGAGAGGTTCATCCAGGTACGACTCAAGAAAATCGCCAAGTGACCATCTGAGCTCGTGCATACACGTTAACATAAGCTCAAGCTTTTGTCCCTTTGTATGGTAGGTTGATGTTGTGCGGCGGGCGCGGTCTAGTAACGCGTCAACCGACTGCTCAGTGGCAACAGCACGAGGCGTCTCGACGTCTGAAGAAGAGGGAAAGGAGGTCATCGGGACGACGGACGACAGCGACGTTGATGAGGGGGGTATATTCGGTGGCTGCTGAGATGGACGCGGGGGTAAACGTGGATGCGGGGTGCGGCTGGGGGAATCATCGCTCATTTTGGCAACAGACAACGCGCAAATTGTCCTAAAAATTGATACGCAGTAGCAGTACACGATACAGTTGCTACTGCAAAGTTTTGCGAAGTTTAGAGGACAGAAACGCGGACAAATTGATGATAGAAGGTCCCCTCATACAAAAAGTGAGCAGTAAAGTTGTAGTATCTAAGAAATAATCACAAAAGTCCCTCAGACGGCTGGGGAGAGAAAGCCTTTCTTACACCCTCATTGGCTAGAGAGATGGGGCTTGCGCCACTGAGGCCACTAGCAGGGGCTTGCCCCTCTCGAGGCTCTCTCCCCATCCCGTCTGAGCTTGCTGAGATAAACTATATACTGTACGAGATAGGAGCTATGCCTAATGAGTAAATAGTGCAGTACATGGGTATGATATCGCGTGAGACACGTGCGACACCTAGCACAAACCCGCTGCCTCGTGCATGTGAATGCCTTGTGCCCTAGCTGGTGGCATTGGTAGCACTGCAATGGTCCATTTCGCGGTTCAAACGGTCTTGTGTATGCAGATTCTCCGTTGATGTGGAAGTACTGTTCTTGTAGCAGCCGGGCTGCATCGCTGCCCTTAGTGAAATACACCACCATCGATCCATATGCCTTTCCTGAATCCTTTCTACTCAGCCAGCTGACTTTTGCTACCTGCACCCTGTTTTCGACCCCGAGGGCCTCCGGGGCTCCTGGTCGGATTTGTCCTTCCTCTGACAGCACCGCTAGCCGGTTGGCGTTATCTACCCTGATTGGGAAGAGCTGGTCGCGCAGTATCCTAACTCCCCTGGCCGCCGTCTTGCGGGCTGCCTCTTTGACCGCCTGGAGCTCACTTTCGTCCCTACATGTGACTCTGATTCGATCGGTGTTCCTCGGGTCCCTAACCACTGCCGCACATCGCCATTCCGCGCGCTCGTAGTTTGTCCGCATCTCCTCCTCAATGGCTTGTCTAATCTTGCCTAGTTTCGCCTTCTCCCTGTCCACCTCCTCAATCCTAGATGTGTCGATTGTGCAGTAGAGTGTGTCCGTTGTCGTTGAGGGTGCTGTGTTGGTGGAAAGGGTCTGTAGGTTACTAGGCTGGCTGCTTGGGGGCGATCGTGCCACGGCGGCGTAAGATGGCGATCCACTAGGCAGCGTGTACGATCTGGCTAGAAGGGTCTCGAATTTGTCTACCATTGCTTTGTTCTCTGCCTTCAGTGCCTCCACCTCTTGGGTGAGTGCCCTTGTTATCGTCTCGATCTGGGTTGCGTGTTCTCTTTCTATCCGCTCCATTGTGGCTACCATCCTGTCTTGGGTCTCTTTGAGTGCTGCGAGCACCACAACTAATGGGTCTTCCTTTTGTCTCGCTCCTGCGCTTCTCTTGGGTATACCTGTTCCTTCGTCATGTCTCGTTCTTGGTCGGCCTTGAGTGCGGGTTGGTTGTGGGGCTCTGGGGGCCTCTTGGTCGACATTGATCACCTCGTCCGTCCCGCTTCCATCGCTTGAGTTTCCCTGTTGTCTCCTTATATTCTCCGCCTCGGTCGCCTTGCGCGTCCTGACGCGTGTTCGGGTCAATTGCCGCCCCTGACGCGTGTCCTCCACCTCCGATTCCATCGATTCACGACTCCCCTGGGTCCCGCGCAGTCGTCTCGTCCTCCGGTACTTATCCCCGGTTCTCTAGGAGAGAGGGGGGGGAGAGAGGTAGGGGGGGGGTTTAGGGTTAGGTACCGGTACTTATCTTGCAACCCCCTCAGTCGCCGCAGCTCCGGTCAACGACAACGGACACACTCTACTGCACAATTGACACATCTAGGATTGAGGAGGTGGACAGGGAGAAGGCGAAACTAGGCAAGATTAGACAAGCCATCGAGGAGGAGATGCGGACAAACTACGAGCGCGCGGAATGGCGATGTGCGGCAGTGGTTAGGGACCCGAGGAACACCGATCGAATCAGAGTCACATGTAGGGACGAAAGTGAGCTCCAGGCGGTCAAAGAGGCAGCCCGCAAGACGGCGGCCAGGGGAGTTAGGATACTGCGCGACCAGCTCTTCCCAATCAGGGTAGATAACGCCAACCGGCTAGCGGTGCTGTCAGAGGAAGGACAAATCCGACCAGGAGCCCC